TTACTGCAATTACCAAGGTGAACAAAAGCAACATTTATCGTTGGTTTTGAGTTAAGTGGTAGTAAAAGTAACATTTTTTCCTGCTTTCTATTATTTACCTTGTTTACAGCCCAAGCACAATACTGCAATGGCAGAATGACACCTGCAATGCGAAAAACAATTGATAAAAACAATTTGAACAATTGATAAAAACAAAAACAAAACAAAAACAATTTGTTGATATGCATAATAAGTACAGGTCAGAGGTAGCAAAAGGTATGGCTACTATAAAAGGTAGAAAGAAAGCCCCGCATGCTAGCAACATGAATAAATTGGTAAACTTTTGCCACCTAAACAGTCGTTTCTCCTGAGAAGAAAAAAAACTTTCAACTTTTTTACCACTAAAAAGTGTAAAAGATCACTTGATACATCTTGCAGATCTTGATGTAACAACTATACAAACATAGAAACCACTTGTTTCAACTTAATCAGTTTAGAAATTTCTTAAATTGTAGGTTTGAGTTGTAGGCGACACTTGTTAAAGTGTTCTCACATTTACATGTGGGGCGTAAGTCATGTTTGGGGAAGTTGCGAGGATCCTTACTGTGAACGTGAGCTTCTTAAATTTTTATAAAGTGTTTTCTCTCTGAAGCTTAACCTTAATTCCCTTTAAATTTGCTGTCAATAATTAAGTGTCCAATCACTGGTGATTTTCTTTTGGTGCAACATGATCTTTAAAACTTTCAGAAAGCTCTCCTCCTAAATTTGAAGATTTTGAATTTTAAAAGGTAATCAAGCATTCAAGTACTGATCATTCTCAGACGAGATTGAAATGTGGAAAGAGTTACGGAACTGAAATGTAAGAAACGCGGAAGAGCGCTGTGAATGAACTAAGTTCATCAAAAGCGTCATAAGAGGTGGTTATGGAGAAAGTTTGGTCTCTTCTGGCAAGACAGAACACGGGAAAGCAGAAAATTTGCAGCTTGAGAAGTGTCTTGATGTATTATACAAAATAACATCACAATAAAAAAGATTTTTGGATGAATAATGATGGTAGTCATGACACATTACGATAATACTTTAAAACAAAGTCTTATTTTATGCTTAGCAAAAGCTTTGATGACAACCAAACAGTGAGAGAGTTGAACAGGATGAAAGGTTTTGCTACCCAAATTTTCTATTAAATTTAATTTAAAACCTGAAACTTGCTTGTGATACCGACCGTTTTCTAGGCTGATGTGAGGCCATTATTCACATATTTTAAATTAGGTCCTGTCACGCTTAAGTCTAACCTTCTTTTGACAACTTTTTTTCCTCTTTCTCCTTTCCAGACATCCATAAACCCTCTTGCTTTTTTGCAGGAAACTTAGAAAACAACAAAAGCAACTTATTCAAAAAGCGACTGCAAGTGTCCTATGATTCTGCGCCATGCAACACTGTTACCGGTTACGTGGAATTTGACATTTAAAAACCATATCCGGGGTTCAGTTTTTGGGAGGACCGTTAGTGCTCCAAGACGAACAGAAACTATTTCAGTTCGAAAACTTTTTTACTGGTTTTCATGCGTGCAAGGTTTTCAGTTTTCGCTACACGTCTATTATCAACTGGTACGACGGCGGGAAAACAACGAGGCTGGCACCCTTTCATACCCTGCTGTTCATACATTCTAATGAAAGCCTGAATTTTTCACATTAAACACCTAAAATTAACTAAACAGTGGCTCTGGACTGCTATCGAGTAGTTTTTATCGCATTTATCAATTCAAAACTCTTAGAGTTCAGCTAATTTTTTTGCTTTGTTTCTCTTTTGGTGGAAAATACGAACTAGGAGGCACAAGAGCGTTGATGAATAAGTAATTAAAGGCAGGGATGGAAAGGAATGTTTTTTCCACCGCTTCGCTCTAGATTTCAAACTTCTGAATAAATAATTCAAGTCAATTACATATTCGATTACTGCCAACCTTAACATTGTCTGTTTCACCAAAATCTGGCAACAGTGAAATGAAGCTCTGTTTCATTATCACTCGAGAGTGTAAACCAAAAAACCACCGATAAGCTAGACATCTGCATCTAAAACTGTTGACTCTACTGTTCAACTCTAAAAGTTACTTCTTTGTCGCTGACTTACGTGACTGTCATTCTCATTAATAACTAATTCTGTTTTTTCATATTGAGCTCTCCCAGCAAAGTGATAGATTTGCGATTTGGAAATTTCTTCATAATTAAAAGAAGGAACAAAAAAAAAAGCAAAAATATCAAGTAAACACTGCTGTGTATAAATTTCTCAGTCAAATATCTTTTGACTCCCAGTGACTGTTTGCAGAATAACCACAATGAATGGTTTGAAAGGTGTTCCGATACGTGGGTTTCTATTGGATATAAACGGCGTTTTATACAATACTACAAAAGACGGTCGTGGACAAGCTATCCGAGGATCAGCTGAAGCTGTGAAACGGTTGATTACTCAAGCATTAGTTTTTGATTCCTCTTATTCTTTTATACCACGTTATTAACATTATTTTTTCGTAACCTTATCAATTTAGTTCCTCAAAAGTTCTTAATCTGGATGGACTTGCCGTATACGTCTTGATAGCTTGTGTTTCAGCATGTCTGTTTTTTAAATAATTTCACCTTTTAGTCGATGAAAAGCAAGTTATTTAATACATCTGCTTAGAGTTTGCTTTGGAACGCAAATTTTCATAATAGGTGTTTTCCTGAGACTGATGTTTGAAGGTTATATGCGGAAAGTAAAGTGAAGTTCCTCAGTAACGAAAGTTGTGTAACGCCGGCGCGACTTGCACTTCGACTTTCGAAGCTAGGTATTCCAGTTGATCCTCGTAATGTTTTTACACCACTGTCTGCGGCTGTATCATTTTTAAAGGAACACAAGTTGCGACCACATCTGTTGGTCCATGAGAGTAAGTTTAGAAGTAAAATTCACTTTGATAGTTTAAGTGGCCGGTTATCTGTAGATTTGCGTAGATGTGGAGGAAGAGTTTGCCGAATTCCAGTCCTCCGACCCGAACTGTGTTCTCCTTGGAGATGCAGAGGATAGATTTACTTTTGAGAACCTAAACAGTGCATTTCGAGTTCTTCTAAAACATCCCATGATCATCGTTTTGGGATTTGGGTGAGTCACTTCATGGTTCTGCCTGATAACATTGTCATTTCCACGCTTGTTTTTTCAATTGTTTTTCTAGAAAATTTTATCGTCGTGCTGATGGGCATGTGATGGACGCAGGTTGTTATGCAAAGGCGCTGCAGTATGCTTCAGACGCTCGAATTAAAATTATTGGGAAGCCTTGCAAGTCATTTTTTGAACAAGGGTTAAGGGAATTAAATATGAAAAAGGAAGAGGTGTTTTTTAAAAACATCAATTTTATAATACTGTTGTATTCGTTGCATCGACTTTTTACTTGACTTTAACACACTTCTTCATCGTTTCTTCTATCGTGCTTTCGACTAACACTGCAGGTGGTCATGGTGGGAGATGATATTCTTAGTGATGTTGGCGCAGCACAGGCGATAGGCATAAGAGGAGTCCTGGTTCGAACTGGAAAGTGGAGGTTAGCACCTTCTATTACCATCATTTCTTAAACATCAAGACATTATCTTTGGGGAAATTCAACAGGTCTATTCATGTTCAGCACGAGATATCTCTCTTGGTCAAGTTTTTGAGTATTTTTTAGAGAAGAAAGAAAGAAAGGAGGATGGAAACTTTGAAGTTTTTTACTAAAGTTTGTTATTAAGTCTTTAGTAGTTTCTCACCTAAAAGCAAATTAAATAGGTTTTCTGGTTTTTCCTTTTGATTTTTACTTGTAGTCACTTCCAGCAAGGTCTAAAACTGACCGCTGTTAAACAAACAAAATTATTCATATTAATTTTTGAACGCATTGACTGGATTAGTAATCCGTATCAAATTGACCTTTTTTTGCTGAAACAGCTTATTGTTTTTGACTGTCCATGAATGCTCACCATTATACACTTTTATAGAAGTGAATGGGAAAATCACGAAATCAAGCCTTATCTGATAGCAGATAATATTCTCGAAGCTGTACAGAAACTAATCCCTATGAAATGCAACTGAAAAACCTAGGTTTCGCTCACTGTTCCTGGCTCTCCAGTCGATAATTAATTGTCAGTATTTGACAGTCGGTGAACAATATTATTCTTTTTTTTGTCGGCTTGCTGCCTTTTTTGACATACTTTTTTTAACTGTTCAGATGCAGCTCAAAACAATCCTCAGACAATGCTTTAACCAATTTAGGGCCCTTAGTTACGGAGAGAACTTAAAGAGGACTGGAAAACCAGACTGGCGAGACTTTAAAAAGCATTCGAATTCCTGGGGCCCTCGTTTTTTTGCCCAAAAGGTGTAGTTTCGCTCACTCAGTGCTATATTTTTATATAATGAAATATAATGTATAGTTCTTCTGTATAGTAGTTACTGGAGTAATTGTTAGCTTTTTAATGAGTAGTAGCCCCTATAATTGTGATTTAGATGTAATAGAGTTTTGCAGAACTTCTTTTTCTGTTTTGACTGCACAGCTGAAAATCCATTGCCTTCCAGATATTCGGTGGATAAACCAATATCGTAGTTTTACAGGGTTTTTTCAAACCCAGATACGTAAAATCATCTATTAAAAGAAGGTCACCGGGCGTTCCATGCATTATAATAAGACCTTTGATTCCCATCCTTTAATTAAAGTATCACTACATTGATTTTTTTGACAAGACGCTACGTCGACTTTCCAAAAAGACAATGGTCTAATTGGATGCTCGTCGGAAGAACTGCTCACCTACTTTTACGGTAGAAGAGTTTGTGACTAGCATCTTTCAAGTGGTTAGAGCTCTTAAATTACTGTTCATTCTGTAGGAATTAGGAGTGGGACTAAATTCTTCCGATTAATTTATTAATTAAAATTTCTTGTTTTACCCGCTGCTTTACCATTCGCATTACCATTTGAATAATGATACTGCAGACATTTTATCAAATGAGTTACTTCGTAGGCGTTTTTGATAATTTGCCGGAATGAATTGACGCAGGACAGCCTATGGGTTTCTCAAAAAACTTTTTGGAGCTTTGCCACTTTTGGAAATTTCAGCCGAACAGTGTGGGATAGAGGCGAGACTGAAATATTGCCGAGGTGGGGATGAACCTAAATGCTCGGGCAGAAGGCGTTCACCAAACAGAATATGCTTATTCTTGGATTTGTTTTCGATGAGTTTCATGCTCTAGTATTTAGCTATTTCATTCGAAGGCGTTGATTCGCATCTGCCATCGTCAGTCAGTCTGAACGCGTATTTCTTTTTTTTCCTTATTAGTCGATTAAAAGACTATACAAATACTACTTATCTTGATGAATTGTGATTGTGATTGAAGGGGCATTTCTAAGGTTTTGTTCAAAGGAAGAAGGACAACAGTCTTCCTTACAAAATTTTTTGTAATTGCAGTCAGCTCTTCCTGTTGATGGTTCAAGTTTTATTCAAATATAGTTTATTTAGAAACGTCTGAGGCAGTAATGCTAAACATTTTCACAGATTCTACTGATTGGTTAAAGCGTTTCAGCATGTACAGCTAAAAACATCTTAATAACAGCTCAGCATTTACTAAAGAGAATGTATTTAGAAAACTGTTGTGGCACGGCAACCATAATTCAAGAGCAGTTTTAGAGATAGAGACTTGGTTAGAGTCATTCATTTTCCGCCCTGCTCCGTACATTGATCATATGATATTGCTTTGTTTCGTTTGTTTTATCATTTCGCATCAGGTTTAGATCTGAAGATTAAAGAAATCTGATGCAACTTTTGTATGACGACAGCAGTATCTGCTTCCCTGTTAACCACCGTCAAGTTGTTCGTGGAAACCCTCATGAACTAAAAAATACACCGAACAACCGATCTTAGAAAAAGTAAAGGAAGAACGTGTTAATTTCTCTGAAAATATTAAAGATGGATTGGGCAAGTTAGGAAACCTGAAGTTAAAAAATTAAATGGACCTATGGAGTTGGAAGTCGTCTTTACAAGGAGTAATGGTAAATTAAAATGTAAAGAAGTCAAAATTTGTCTCATAGAATTATTGGATTGGAGCCACGATGCATTCATTCATTACTCAAGCGAAAGAAATATCAAGGGCTGTGAGTGATTCATAACTTTGAACGGAAGTAGTTTTTGTCGTCTTTAAGGATAGAATTTTAAATCTTCAATTGGTTGTGAGGACTACCGGGAAGCTTGATTAATTGATAGCTATTTTTAGCTCTAAAACCATCCTAAGGAGAAGGGAAGCGAGTAGTAATTATGGAATCAACATTCTGCATTTTTCAGTCTCGGGTGTTATTTGGATATGTGGTGTCATAGAAGGCGAGCAAAATTGCTTCCTGTTTCACAGCCATTTAGTGAGAGAAGTGACTGTAAAAATTAATTGGAAGATAAAAGTAAATTGGTTTGGATATAATTTATTTTTGCACTAGGAAGGTAGACTCTTATCGTTTCTCAACTGAAAAGTTCGTTCGCTGTCAAGTCTTCTTATTTACTTGTTTACTGTCTTCTAGGGAGGCTCAGATTTTCATTATGTATTATTCTGTTGTTTCCTGCTAATAGTTATATTGTTTATTCTACTATACGATTAAAATTCCGTTTGGCCGACGTTATCAGCATTGTTTGGATATAGTGAATATGTAGTGGTTTTGCAGGCAAAACCAGGTGGTTTAGGTTGTCTACTAATTGTTTTTCGATATTTGATGTGCCATGGCTATTCCTTTCACAGCGAAGGCTCATTTTGAACTATGTTTAAGTGAACAAAGATACTATATTAACGCCAGGTCTCATTGTCGTCTTGCTAAGCTGTATGAAGACTTTGATCAGCAAAAATCCGATGTAAGTCTTACCTTTTACTTATGTAGCAATGGCCAGGGTCATCCGGTTGAAAAATTAAGCCCTTATCTAGTACCACTGATGAAAGTTCCGAGAGTGTTTATTGGGATAAGGTCCTGTACATAAACTTAACTTCTTTATACAATAAATTACACCTGTTTGATTTACTTATTTGATTTCAATTCTTTCACAGACGTTGACATCAGCAAGCTTTTCTGTTTCAGCTTGTCGAGTTGGAACTTCAGGTAAAGTGGAACAAAATTAAGGAAGCTACGGAAGTACTCGGAAGGATGTAATTTTTAATACTTTTCTATTTTTCATTTATGGTGAGAGACAGTACTGCGTTATAATGATGATTATCAGTTATATTTTAATTTAGAATTAAAGGCCGTCTTTCTGAAGAAATGTGGAGGCTGCTTAAAAAACTAGTTCTTGACGCTTTAGGAAAGGGGACAGCTGAGAGAGGTAATCGTTTTCAAGGCATTGCTTGTTTCTTTTGCCACTTTTTATTCACTTTAGCCTCAATTTATTTCATTTACAATTTTTAGCAGTCTTTTCTGAACTATCATTTGATTCCTTTGACCAAATTATTACCGGATTGTCGATGCATTTTAGCGATGATGTTTTTTTCATGACTCAGCTTCAGTTATTTATTCTGGATACCAGCAGTGAAGAAAAGTATTCTAAGATAACGGTGATTTTTCTTTACCTTAGTTTCTGCACCTCAAAAACTGAAAAAGTGCTGTATTTTTGTCTGTACTTCTTTTGACATCTCTGTATCAAAGACTTTTCCTCATATGGTTCTAGAGTTTTATATGGTTTTTTTTTTGCTGTTTTAGAATCGCGCCCTTAATTTCCTAATTGACAAGGCTACAACGGAAACTGACTTGGAAGATGGAGTAAGCGTATTCCACGTACTTATAGGTTGTTAACTTTTCAGCTTTAAAATTGTTCCACTCATTTTTCTGATTTTCCTCCTACCGTGGAATTGATATTTCTGATCAAATTTTTGGAATTGGTGTACAAATTCTGCTTCTACTCAAACAATTCTTCTTTTGAGGGACTTTGAAACCAGTGAAAATAGTTTATCTTTCATTTTTAGCTGCGTTTCTTGCTCCTCATTTGTTAGAACAGAGGGTTAATTCTTTTCGGATGGAACAAATGATTACTGTCTTCACTTACGCTCTTCAAGTAGCCGTTTCTTGGCCTTACACTTATCAGAAATGGTCTCAAAAAGTCAAGTAAATATCATTAATTCTGAGCTTTTTTTATTAAAAGGCCGAATAAGATGCTTATATTTTTATTTCATTTTTTTAATGGAAATTTAACTTTCAGAGATTACCTACCCCACTGTGATTCAGTTTTGGCGGACTTTTCTGAGCGTCGTTGGGATATTTTATGGGATCTTGCTACAAAGTTTGTTAGTACATTCAATCAAGGGACGTTGCCGAACACACAAACAAACCCGAGGTAGATCTTAATAGGACACCTGTTTTGCGACCTACGTAATAAAGAAACCTGTGATCTCTACGTGCCAGTTTTTTTGCGTCGTTTATTAAGAGCTTTATATATAAACTGGTATTCTTGTTTTTCAGTAGTTGTGATGGTTTAACCAAAACTATCGAATGCATTGATTCCTTAAAACAAGAATCCAAGGAACTTCTTCGCCTTCTGTGCGTTTGGCGTGCTTACAGTGTTTGGAGGGAACATGTTTCTGATGGTTGGGTTTTAATATTGGTCTATCATTTCCTTGAGTTTGGATACAAATACTTAATGCGTGCTAAATGTTTGCGCTTCCTCTGTATCTACTGTTAAACTTAAATAGAGATTTCTTCTAGATGAGATGCTTGTGTGGTTACCAGACAATAAATGGGATGGTGATGTTGATAAAATCATCGATGAATTTACCGATGGAAGTCATGAGAAATTGAGTCCGCCAAATAAGAGATCGCGGAATTCCAGAGAAAGAAGAGTTACGCTAACTGCTTCTTGTGCTGAAATTCACCTTGTCCCGTCGTGTACATTGGTTAGTCCACATTTTTATATCGTATTTAACTTTATTCCTCTTTGGAGCAGCAATGGCTATTTAAAAAATTTTTTGTCTTTTTCTTTCTTGAAAAAAAAACAGTTTTAGTTGGATGATGCATACAAGCTATGTACTGCGGCAGTTGGGGACCTCGTATCGTCTAACGACTTTGTTGAGTCTGCAAATGATTATTTAAAATTTGTAAAATATTATCCCAACGTCCACAAGTTTATCAGCGAGTCTCTTATTTTTAAACTCAAATCGAACGAAGCAGTTGTTCATCTGAATGAGGTTCTTATTTTTAGTTGTAAACCAGACTTTCATTGATGTATAAATTATCATACTTGCTTTTGTGTCATTGGAAACTTGGCGTTGTCGATGAATAACTTTGTTCGTTTTTTTAGCGTTTGTCTGAACTGCCGGATGGAGTGGATGATATGGCTATTAACATTCATCTTTTGTGTGCTAATACTTTGGAGAGGAACTTTGCGGACGCATATAGTGTTTTAGTCTCATTACTCCCACAAAGTTCTGATTGGGTAAATTATCTTTTTCTAACTTTTATTGGTATTAAATGTCCTTATAAAGAATTATGGGAATTATTCATGAGAAGGCTCTTTATAACTAATTTTATAGGGAGACAAATCTTCAAATTTTCTCCATTAAAGTGACATTTTTGTCACCCTTGAAAATTGTTACTCTTTTGTGTGCTCAAGGAACTTATTACAGAGCGAACGGGAAGATGTATTTGAAAACCAGGATATTAATCTTTTACATATGTCTTCGCAGGTAAGGCTGTTGTCAGCACTTATGTTGGCTGTTATAATTTATTTTTGGAATTGGATTCTTTGAATTTTTCCTAGTTTGTTTCATAAAGACAAGATATTTTGCAGCAACGATTCTGTATTATAAAAAAGGAGCTATCCGTTGATCTCATTTTTGACTATTTACATCATATACTGTACAAAGTAATATCTTCTCTGGGTATTTATTTATTTTTTTAGATTTTATGTGTATAAATGAAGCAGTTCATTGTTTCCAGTAATATTTTTTCCTGCAGTACTGCTCACCGCGGATTTTTAGCACCAGGAAATTTTCTTCTGAGCAGCGTTTATTACTTACCTCATTCTACTCACTATTAGGAAATTAAATAGTCATCTTGATAAAATTTCTTAATGAACATTCAGTGATATTAATAGCACGGGAGTAATGGAGGTTGTTAATATTAACAGTGTTGTTTGGTTAGGATTCAGTGACCAAAAAATTTTTGAAGAGTAGCTTTAGCAAACAATAATAATTGCATTTCATATGTTTTACTTGGTAACGACTGTGTTAATTTGTTTTCAGGTTTATACGTCAACAACACTGAATCATGAAAATGACGAGTTGTTAGGTTCCTTGCTTATTCTGTCGCAAATCAATTTTTATGTTCAAGGATATCGCTTCTTCAATAGAATAATGCGTCATATTGAAGCGAAAGTGAGTCAAGTTTAATAGACTTAGCGTGATTATTTTTCTTAGACCTGTTTATAGAATTGCTGCTGGGGAGCGGTTAGGATATTTATTCGCTGAGAGTTGTTATTGCCTTTTTGACAGTTCACTCGCGTGAACTCTTCTGCTTGCCGTAACAGGACCGAATTTTATAAATTGTCTCTTTTTAGGGCTCTTTAAATTACCCTGGGCTTGGTAAGTACATATCTAATATCACGATTCTTGAAGAGCTTGCTAGGATACAAGACTTCTGCTCTGAATATGTTTCAATACAAATTGCGGCACCTCAGGTTCATAGGTAGCTTTTATTCTTTCATTTTTATGTAATTTGACCTTAAAATTATATTTTAAAGAGTTTTTAAGAAGGATTGGACAGTCAACGCGGCATAGTGTTCGAGGGACGAGAGACGGACAAAAACATTGTTTGGAAGAACAAATTCGGAAAGAAGGTGAAGCCCCTCTGCAAACAGTAGTAGCTTATTTCACTGACAACCGAGACAATTTGCTGCAAATACTGAAAAAGTGACTAGTGGGGTGCGGATTTAGTGTGAATCTAATATTCTGCTTTTCTTCCTGTTGACGGACGTCACTTTTTTATTTTGTAATATGAGCCAAACCTTCCACACACCTAATATATGCATTTAATCTTTAATCCCTGCTCTTTCTGGGTCCAGTTAGATGTCTTGGAATTTTCTAGTGGTCAGAAAATGGTTAACAGGATTTAGACCTTTCAGATTAATTGTTGCCCATGTTGTCTGTGTCTTAGGTTTCATAGTTGTATAATTCCGTATAAATGAGTAGCATCGACGGGTTTGTATCTCTCAATGTTTTCCAAATTGGTACATTCAAAATTGTCAAAACTAATTATCCCACTGTGATACTTATATTTCACTGTTACAGATACGTTATACTTTATTCTATTTTGGGATTCATGAATTTTTAAGAACAATTATACAGTTTATGGACTGCAGATGACAAAAGACGATAGAGCGTTTTAGAAATTGGAGAGGATGGAAACGATTGTTTCTTGACTGATGCTATGTTACAAAACCCAATCTAACAAAAAAGGAGAGAAAAATAAAACTTTTGTTTTTATGCATTGCTCTTGAACGTTGGTGGTATGGTTTTGATTTGTTTTTTGCTTGTTTCATATTCTGGTGTCATCATTACCATTTTGAGTCCAATTGGGCTTTTCGGAGCTGGTAGGACGATACAACGGTGAACCCATAAGCTGAGAAGACAATAGAAGGGTTAAAAAAAATTTTTTATTTCACAGATAATAATACATTATCAAATTGGGATACAAATTACACCGAGAAGTAGTGACTATCAGTTCTAGAGGAGACATACAATAATAATAATAATAATAATAATAATAA